TCATGAAACGTAACATCTAGTGATTAGGGAAGGAGCACATTTTTTGTGTGTGTCTTTTTAAATTTTTTTATTTGATCAATTTGATATGTTACAATTTGTATATTTAAGATGTACATTGTGTTACTTTGATACATTTATATATTATGATTGTCATTGAAGCAATATTTATCACATTACATCATTATAGTATAGTATTATAGACTATACTCCTTATACTGTGCATTAGAGATGACTTATTTACTATAAGTTACAAGTTTGTACTCTTAAACACCATCAAATTTGTCCCCCCAAGCATTTTTTGTTTTTTCATAAAACAAATTTACTATAAACATATTTGGTTAAGGTAGTAACATCCTAGGATTTACAGATACATTCACCATTATATAGCCATCTTAATTGCATATAAAGGTATAAGAATACCTAAGTTCAGTAGTTTAAGAAAAATAAACATCTCATGAACTACATCATGAAAAATGTCCAATGGAGTTCAGATCTATTAAAATACTCTGTTAATCTCTAATTATTATTATATTTAAAAGAAACCAGCTTTGTGCAGTGATATAGTCCCAACTGCAGAATTCTTTCTTTCCTTGCTTTTCTTCTCGAGAAAAAACCCAATCTCAAAAACCCAACCCTGAAAGTCCCTCTTTCAAAACACCCTTAACTGCATCTTGTCCTTTGCTGTACACACTCATAAAACGCATCCCTTGTCAGACTCAACCTCCATTTTTTCCAACCCTTCATCCCAGCTGCTGAGCATTCCAAGTCTATCTCATCCCTAGCCAATCCTTCCTACTTCCTTTCCATTCATCTACCACACTAGCATGGCTATCTTAGACTTTGCTTCCAGCTACCAGATAGAGAACCCATTCAAATTTCCCATCTCTTCCCTCTGGCTTCTCCAAATCCATCTATCATTCCTTTAATAAATGTTTATCAAGTGTCAAGTAAGTACCTGATACGTGCAGGCACTGGGATAAATTTTGCAGATATTGGAATAATAAAAGAAAAAAAAAAGTTCCTGCCTTCAATGAATTTAGTGAGACAGAAAAATGAAAAATGAAATTGTAGTGTGATAAACATTATAGCAGAAATGAGTCCATGCAGTTTGGGGAACAGAGTGTATGTACCTAACATAAATGGATTGATCTGATAGCTACCTGAGGCAGCCAATTTCTCACCTCTTCCCCAGAGCAAGCCAGGCACTGACTCAGCCCTCCATGGCTACAGAGGGCACTGCTCAGTCAATTATTCCCCTTTTAGATTACTTTTATCATCATTTCTCCCCTTCTCCTCTGCTCTTTCCTCTGGCTTATAAACATCTTTATGATTCTCACATCTCGTAAAACCTCGCCCATCTATTTATTCCCTGTTTCTCTCTAGCCTCTACCATGTTTTTGTGGGAAGAGAACACTAGTGGGTGCTACTCACACTGCTGGTAGGAATGGAAACAGGTACAGCCCTCTAGAGGACAATGTGGCACCATGTATCAAAAACCTTAAAAATGTGAACACCCTTTGACCTAGCAATTCCAGTTTCAGGAATTTATCCTCAGGGGAAAAAATCATGGATGTGTACACAACTCTGTTATTGAAGACACACAAAGATGTTTATGAAAACATTGTTTAAAAACAAAGTACTGAAAATGTAAACGTCCATTTAAATGAGATGATTAGTTTTTAAAAAGTATGGTGCAACAGGGAAGGTAATACTGTTAAGCAGATATTTAAAACTATGCCATAAAAATATTCAATGACATGGAGAAAGCTTCAAGGTATATAGTTAAGTGAGAAAAGTAGAGGACAAAATATTGACAATAAGATCATATAAATATTAGTACAGTACCTGACACATAATAAACTCTCAAAAGCATTAACAGCAGTTCAACTCATGGGTTTATCCATTCCCTTAAATATTTGAGAGCCCTTGAAACTGTTATTCTGTTTGGAGCTTTGCTTGGTAAATCTCTACTCATTCTTCAAAATTCTGTTTAATTGTACTATAATGTTCTGCCCCTTCCTGTGTTCTTCAAAATAAAGACGCTAAGCTCTAAACCCAAAAGTTACATGTATGCAGCAATTAAAAGACTACCTTTCATCTCACAAACATATTGTTGATCAAAGGATGCCAGACAAAAGAATTGAAAGCAGGGAGTCAAACAGATACTTGTATATCAGTGTTCATAGCAATATTATCCACATTAGCCCAAAGGTGGAAACGACACAAATACCTATGAATAGATGAATGGATAGAGAAAATGTGGAATGTTATTTTCTCTAATATTCCACAATGGAATATTATTTAGCCTTAAAAAAAGAATAAAATTTTGATATGGTCTACAACATGAATGACCTTTGAAAACATGCTAAGTGAAATAAGCCAGACACAAAAAGATAGTGTATAATTCCACTTATGTGAGATACCTGGAATAGGCAAATTCATAGAGACAGAAAGTACAATAGAAGAAGGAAGGTGAATGGTACAGGAAATGGATGGTGGCAATGGTGTACAAAACTGTGAATGTACTTAATGCCACTGAATTAGCCACTTAAAATGGTTAAAATGATAAATTTTATGTATATTTTACAAGAACAAGACTTTAAAAAAAGAGTCAGATACCAAAGAGTACATACTATTTGTTACCATTTATACAAAGTACAAAAACAGAGAAAACTAATCTATAGTGACAGAAGTCAGAATAGTAACTACTCTTTCTAAGTTAGTGGATGGAAGAGGACAAGAAGGGGAGTTATGGGTCATTTTATATATCTCGATCCAAGTGCAGATTCCATGAGGGTGTTCTGGAAACCACTGAGTGTGTTCTGAAAACCACTGAGCTCTTCGCTTATGAGTTTGCCCCTGTCTGCATCATTAATACTTCAATCAATAGTTCACCAGAAAACAAAAACCCTAGCATATCTTTAGAAAGAAATTTAATTGCAAAAATCTGGACAAGTTCTTGGCAGCTGAATCTTTTTTTTTCTTTTTTGGGGATCCTGCTTTTCTTGTGCTCTGAACTTGCGCTGAATCTGTGTCTTCTTTGACTGCTTTTTCGCTTAATTTACCAAGGTCCCACACTAACCGGGGCCGCATTCTCAGAGGACAGTGGCTAACTTGTCTCCTATTTGTTTCCCGGCTAACTCTGAGGTGAATTCTTGGAGGTCATAGAGACGAGTCCTTACTAATCCTGCTAACCAGAGCAATAACAAATCCATCAGCTCGGTTGGCTGGGAGAAAGGCAGGAAGAAAAATGCTGGAAAGAGAGCCACTTGGGTTCTGCCCAGCGCTGCCAGCCCGCTCAGTCCTCCAGACGCAAAACCACGCCCCCTTTCAAGCACCCCCCCTCCTGGCCCCGCCCCTCAACTCACGTATCCTCAGGGCCCGCCTACTAGGCGTGGCCCTGGCCCGGGAAGGCCACGATCCCGCCAACAATGACTCCACCTCTCCTTCCGCTGAGAAACCTGTCCCATTTATTTAAAGAATACGTTTACGTCAGCCCGCCTTACGTATCTTTTGCGTCATCAGTGCCAGGCGCAGGGGCGGGACTTCCTATCTCTGATTCTAACAGCTTCCGGGAGAAGCCGGAAGAGACTGGACCCTGGACAGAATCGGGGGTAGCCAGCCCCTCCCCCAGCCCCTACGGAAAGGTGAGTCTATGGGCCGGCCTGACGAAGTCAAAACACTTAGTCTGGCTGTTTCAGGTGAGGACCTCCTTCCCTACCCAGGCATAGTATCAGTCCAATCCCCCCTTGATTTCCCATGACTCCCCGCGTACTCAAGCCCCGCCCCCAGCCCCCCGACCCCGCCCCGAAGTTTGAGGGGTGTGGATGGTTTGTGACCCCCTAATTCGACTCTAACCCTCATGGGCTGGGAGAACTAGGCTTGGGCACCGCGGCCGGGGCCAGGCAGCCTTTCGGCTCAGGTGGGCCCACGGACCCCTCTCCAGCGCCGCGGAAATAGGACCGCCCAAACGGGGAGCCTTCGCCTTAGAAAAGACAGGGTCGGGAACGCTCCCTCACCGCGCGGTTAGGGTTCCTCACAGGCTGAAGAGAGAGTGAAGGCCTCTGAAGCAGGCCTGGGGTCCTGCCCTGCCCTGCCCCTGCCCACTAAAGTTCCCTGTGTCCGTGCCTGACGTTTTCGCCTGTCAGTTTCCTTTACTGTAAATCGGGGTTAATGACATTAACCTTACCATCAGGGGTTAGTTGTGGGAGTGATAAATAATTGCTACCATTTATTTATTGAACAATTGCAATGTGTCAGGCCCTCTGCTAAGTATTTTGCTTCGATGATTTCCCGTCATCTTCAAAACAACCTTATGAGGTAGGTACTATTTTTAACCCCATTTTACTGATGAAAAAGCTTAGTCCCTGAAAAGTATCTGAGGTTACAGAGCTAGTAAGGAGCAAGACCGGGATTATAAATTAGTTTTTTTTTTTTCTTTCTCTTTATTTCTGACTGCAGGGCCCATGTACTAAATAAGGATGTGGAAACTAGTCAGATGTTGATATGTTCCACAGGTATTCTTTGAGTAACTGCTATAGCATTATGCTGGATACCATGGTACATAGAGAAATACATGTGATCCTTGTCTTCCATGAGTCTTGTAGAGGGACGGACAGGTAGATAAGTATAATGAAGTTTTATAGGTGTTGTGAGAATAGTCTGGTAATGATAATCATAAGACTGGATTTGCCCAGGGACAGCTGTGAAAGCGGATTCTCCAAGGGAAACAGTAGGTACTCCAAGGAGCAAACTGAGATCCTTCCTGCCTTTCTAAGAAACTGCCAAGGGACAACCTACACAGTACAAAAAGATTGAGAGATGGATTGTGAGACCTATTTTGCAATTTTCCAAATCCGTTCCACCTGGGTTTTGGTTTTGCAGTAGTGAGCCTATGATGACCCAGGAGGGTGGTTTTCTGGTGTCTGCCCTACTTTGATCCCCAGTGCTTGCCAGAAGAGTTTCAGAGGAGGCAGATAAAATATCTGTTGTATGGTGGCTGCTAATGACCCTTACAGGACTTTTGGGGTTTTCTGACTCTTTTGTCCCTTTGGGAAGGTCTGACTCTGCTTTTGTTGGTAAATTAATTTTCTTTGGCTCTTGACATCTGGACCTACATATGTGACCATAAATGAGATAGGGTTCAAACGAGACAATCTGGTAAGACTGATTGTACTGTGCCTCCAAAAGTCCCCAAAATAAAATATTCCAGTCATTTTTGTCTCTCTAAGGCCACCTTGGAGGCTCTTCTAAGGGGCATAGTTGCTTGACCAAGTGATAAAAATCCTGGAGAAACTCAAGGCTCAAAAAAGCAAATGTTTTTCCCTGTCTACCAAAAAAACAACAAACAGTTGCAACAGCAACAAAGCTGTAAGGTTTTCCTGATGATCCATGCTCCCTGGGGGGTTGGAATGTGAGAGTAGAAGGGTGTGGAACCTGAAAGCTTGAGTTTGGGGGTCCAGAGTTAGGAAGGTTTGTTCCCCCTTATACAGGACAGTGAACTCCCCTTTCTTTTGAAGCTGGGTCAGTTAGAACCTAAACAAACTAGAAACCTGGTTGCAATCCCATAGGCCATAGGCCCTGCTGATGCTGTCCCCCTTTGTTCCTGCAGTGTGGACCCAGTCAGCAGCCAGGCCATGGAACTCTCTGATGTCACCCTCATTGAGGGTGTGGGTAATGAGGTGACTGTGGTGGCAGGTGTGGTGGTGCTGATTCTAGCCTTGGTCTTAGCTTGGCTCTCCACCTACGTAGCAGACAGCGGTAGCAACCAGCTCCTGGGCACTATTGTGTCAGCTGGCGACACATCCGTTCTTCACCTGGGGCATGTGGACCATCTGGTGGCAGGCCAAGGCACCCCAGAGCCAACTGAACTCCCTCATCCATCAGAGGGTAATGATGAGAAGGCTGAAGAGGCTGGTGAAGGTGGGGGAGACTCCACAGGGGAGCCTGGAGCTGGGAGTGGTATTGAACCCAGCCTTGAGCATCTGCTTGACATCCAAGGCCTGCCCAAAAGACAAGCAGGCCCAGAGAGCAGCAGTCCAGAAGACCCTCTGAGATCTGAGGATAGCACCTGCCTGCCTCCCAGCCCTGGCCTCATCAATGTGCGGCTCAAATTCCTCAATGACACTGAGGAGCTGGCTGTGGCCAGGCCAGAAGATACTGTGGGTGCCCTGAAGAGGTGAGTAAGCTGGAAAAGTGGGAGGCTGTTTAGCCCTTGGTTGCCTCGGAGGAGGCTAGTATAGACATGGAAGCAGCAGGGAAGTTTCACGTCCAGCCCCTATTAGGGATGGGTGGAGTATTTCCTTGAAACCCACTTTTCAGTTTCCCCCTATTGCCCTGCTTTGTTGATCCAGGCCTGTTTGTCTTCCCATTCCTCATTCTCTGTCTCTCATATCTCTTTCATCCTTGCAGTAAATACTTCCCTGGACAAGAGAGCCAGATGAAACTGATCTACCAGGGCCGCCTGCTGCAGGACCCAGCCCGCACACTGCGTTCCCTGAACATTACCAACAACTGTGTGATTCACTGCCACCACTCACCCCCAGGGTCAGCTGTTCCGGGCCCCTCAGCCTCCCTGGCCTCCACCTCAGCCACTGAGCCCCCCAGCCTTGGTGTCAGTGTGGGCAGCCTCATGGTGCCTGTGTTTGTGGTGCTCTTGGGTGTGGTCTGGTACTTCCGTATCAATTACCGCCAGTTCTTCACAGCACCTGCCACTGTCTCCCTGGTGGGGGTCACTGTCTTCTTCAGCTTCCTAGTATTTGGGATGTATGGACGATAAGGACATAGGGAGAAAATGAAAGGCGTGGTCTTCCTCCTTTATTGCCTCCCCACTTTCCTGGCCAGAGCTGGGCCCAAGGGCCTGGGAGGGAGGGATGGAAAGGATGTGGTGGGTCCTCTTCCGTAGGACACAGAAGGCAGGTATGGGGCCTCCCCTTCATGTCCCTGAGGGTAAAGACATCCCCTTTGTGCAAGCACAACTCAGGTAGAAACAAGGATGTCATCTTCCTTCACTTTGAGGGTCCTGAAGTTCAGAACCAAGCTGGTGGCCCAGCTCAGTGGGGAGTCTGGGCTCTGAAGAGTCCTTCCTAGCTATGACCCTTGCTCTTCCCATTGTCCTGCATGTCCACTCCTTAGCACCCAGGGCCACCTGCCAGGGCAGCTCAGCATGGCCCCAGCATACTTCTGTAGGGAGCCTGGAGTATATTTTGATTCCTTAGTGGAATATCCATTTTTTGAGACTAAAGTCACACAGACAAGAATGAAGACCGTCAGCTTGCCCTGTAGGCACCTAGCCACCTCTCCCTTCTCTCTCCACCTCTATAGCAGGAATAGGGTGTTCATGGTGTTCTGGACAGTTTCCAGTGTTCTCCCTTTTTCAAAGCACTTTGCTTGTATTTCTTTTTTTTAAGTCCTTTATAGAACTCCGTTAGGAAGGGGTTTGGGGCACAGAGCCAAGCCCCCAGCATTGGGAGAGGCCAGGCCACAGCTGCTGCTACCCTAGGCCTAAGGCTGTAAGCAAGAGACAGCTCTGGCCCTCAGCCAGTGTCCTACCCTGCCGAGCTCCAAGGACGAGAGCTCTGGGTATGGAGTACTGGGCCCCAGGCCTTTGCCTCTGGGGTTGTTGGATGGAGGGTCAGTGTCTGTGACTGAATAAAGTTCCATTTTGTGGTCGTGGAGCCTCCTTCTGTGACATTAAGAGAATGGCTTTGCTCTGCCCCAGCAACATGGTAATGAGGGTGGGTAGGCCAGGCTACCAACGGGAGATGCAGTTTATTTACACCAGCAGCCATGGGGGCAGGGGAAATACACAGCGTTTACAAAGTTAGCTACCTGTACAAGATGGATTACATATGCAAAAATAAAAATCTCAAGACCACAGGACAGCGTGAGCCCCACCCCCCTCCCCCAATGACCCCAGCATGCGGTAATGCCAGGCGGGTGGCCCCTGGGCATGCGGGGGGGAGTGATGCATGGAAGGAAAAGCCACCGGCCATGGAAATTAGTACAGAACCCCCCCACACACACTCAGACACATGATAGGATACAGGGTGGACGACACCTAGCCAGGGTGGGAAGGATGGGAATTGAAACCCACACAGCCTGCTGTTAGAGGGAGGGGAAGGGGGAGCTCCTAGCCCGTTCGACTACATGGTAGGGGGCATAATCTCCCCAGAAGGAAAGGGGGTTTGCTCCCTCAGGGTCCCTGCTGGACCAAGCCCATCTCTTACCCAGCCTGGGCAGGGGGCTCTGCCCTGAGGGCGGGCCAAGGAACAATGGGGAAGTGGATGTGGACAAACCAGTTCCCAAACTACTTCCCACTTCTCCCTCCTCCAACCAGAAGGGGGAAAGGGAGAGGCCAGAGGGGAAAGGGTATATTAGGGCCTGAGCTGCAGCTGCCTCTCAAAAGGGAGAATGGCCCCTGGCCTTCCTCCCTTCACCTTCAGCCTACTCCCAAGACGTCATTTGGGAGCAGGCTGGAGGCTGGCTGAGATCCTCCATTCCCTCTGGCTTTCCCTTAGAGGGAAAAGACCGTGGAGGGTCAAGAACAGAGGAGCCCAGGCCCCAGGTTTCATTCTAACTCCTGCCAAAATTTGGCTTTTTAAAAAATAATCACAATTCTTGGGTTAAAAACCAATCTGTAACCAGGCACCAGCCGCAAGAACCACCCCAGGGGGTGGTTGGGGTTCCAGACAGGGTACTTCGACCCCATCTCTGTTGTTCCCTTAACCCTCTAGGATCCCGAACCCAAATCAGTCCAACTAGACCTGGGTACTAGCTACCCAAATGTGGGATAAGTCCTCCTGGGAGGAGGGCAGGGGACACATCCAGCAAATGCCAGAGAACTTGGCTCAGGGTCAACTCCACCCCTGTGTCAGTCAGCTCTGCTCCCAGCCCAGACTGTAGTTCTCCAGCTGGGCTCCTGGGAGTGATGGTGCCGGCATGGAGGTGGGACAATACATCTCTTCAGGATGTAGACCAGGCAGGTGGGCACACTGGCATGACAGTCCCACAGAGGGGCAATGCCTAGACATGACACCCCTTCCCCCTCCAATGACAACCCAGAGCACAGAAACTACCCTCTCTTCCCACCCTACTCCTAGCAAAGGGGGGGGAGAGGTAAAAGATCAGGATTTTCCTCAGAGCCCCAAACCACAAGTACAGAATAAATAACTTAAAAGCGGCTAAGGAAGGGGAAACAGGGCAGGCTTCGGAGGCAGGAGCATCGAGAGAGGAACTGAAGCTGGTCAAGGTGAAAGGGGGGGTGGCAAGCAGCAGTTGGGAACTTGGGCTGCCCTGGAAGGGCAGCGGGGCAGGGTAGGCAGGAGAAACATGGGGCCACCCCAGGAGGGTGAGGCTGGGCCCCTTCCTGGGGCAGGGAATGAGGTAAGAAAACATTTCAAAGCAGCACCGTTCCCTCTCACCTTGGGGCCCCACTCCTCACCAGCCCTGGGTTATAGGGAGGAAAGGTAGAGGGGAGTCATTCTGATACACAGCTCCCTCTTCCTATCCTCCCCTTGCCCATTCCTTGAAGCTGTAGAGGCTGGAGGCCCTTTCCTGGCACCCAACAATAAAAGGACAGCTCCTGCTGCCGAGGAGGCCCATGGGGACTGAGGGGAAAGGGCTGCCCCTGTGAGGGGCAGGGAAGGCGGCGGCAGTTCTGGACGCCTACCTCAGCAGACAGCTCGACGTGCCTGCCTACCCCTGGGATTGGGGGCATCTGATAGGATTCTGCACACAGACAGGACAGGACACACCAGCCCTGCCCCTCAGCTCCAAGCACCGGACCCATTCACATTGCTGAGGGAAGCTGCGGGAGGCCCCCTCCAGGCTCAGCTTCCAACTCACAGCCTCCCGGGTAGCCACAATGCTCCTCGGCAGGGCTTAGTCCAGTTCCTGGGGTGGGGGGCAGGCAGTGCCCTGGCAGAGTGCCCAGGTCAGGCCCCTGGCCTAGCTGGACATCCAGTAACTCACAGAATAAATAGGAAAACCGCCTCCCCACCAAATTTATGTCCAAGGCATAATATGTCCAGGTCTGAGTCCTGCATGCGGAGGGGTCGTGCTCCATCGCAGAGGACCCTGACACCCCCCAGGGGTGCATAACTGGATCCTCTGCCTGCTTGGCCCACCAAGCTTCTCAAGCCCAGACCCCCAGCAGCCGTCCATTTGCCAGGCTATGCCACCTGGGTGGGGGTCGGGAGAGAGGGCTCTACTCAGCCAAAGGCTATCCCTTGCACCCAAGTCAGTTGATGTCATCGTAGATGCTGGGCGTCGGGGGTGCCGGTGGCTTTGGCTTCTTCTTCTTGTTAGAGCCCAGGCCGGAGGCAGTCCCTACCAGGCTCAGATGGGATTTCTTTTTCTTGGTTTTCCGTGACTCGGAGCTGTTGGTACCTGAAGAGAAAGAGGTACAGGAATGAGGGCAGGGTAGTGGCTGGAGAACACAAGGTGCCCCAACTCCTTTGCTTCAGGCCCAGCTGGATCACCTACCTAGACCCCATCCTTGATTCTCACTCGTCTTGGAGGAGCCTGAATCAGAGGGTGATAGATCAGACGAGCCGTCCCACTGAAGCCGGCTGATCAGGGCCTGGCTGTCAGTCATGTCAAAGCTGTCATTATCCAGGGAACTCTCGACCTCTGGAAGGACGCTGGAAGGAGGAGGGGCCACAGAAGGGCTTTAGGAATACCAATTAGCATCCTAACCTTCCACAACCCACTAACTTCCTTGGAGGATCACTTACGCTGAGGGTCCGAGGAAGTAAATCCGCACGGCTCGCCGCTGCTCATCCGTGTGCTGGGGGCAGCGCAGGGACCTGGTGGGGAGAGAATGATCAGACCCAGACCAGGCAGAAGTATGTGAGGAACTCAGGTGAAGCCCCTCCCCTCGGCAGAGGTCGGGGGTATGGACACCAACAGGGAAAGGATGAACGAAGAGCCCCCAGATTGCGGCCTAAAGCCTGACTGTTAGAGGAGAGGGGGAGGGCGGGAGTCCCATTGCTCAAGTCCAGGGATACTCCGTACCCATACCCAGGGTGTGTGCACAGGAGGGCCCCCAGCTCCCTTTCTAGGTTCTGAGCTCACCTTGTGCACATCTTCTTGGTGTGTTCAGAAATCACCCCACATTGCTGGAAGAGGAATATAAGCTGAAAGGAGGGATGGAGGGCAACCTACTCTAGACACTAGATGTTTTCTTCTGTATAAATGCTAGATTGCGCAAGCAGAAATGGCCCCAAGGTGTCCAGAGCAGACGATCCCAGACCACCATTGACCAGGAAACCTAATTCCAGAGAGAGAACTATATGGCCCTGATTGCTATGTCACCAGCCTCTTCCAGGGCCTTGACCACTGCCTGTGGCTCCAGCCCACTCCCAAAGGTCTCCCGTTCCCTGGTCCCTCACCGTGGTGAGCAGGCTACGCAGCTCCTCCGGTCCCAGAGTCTCATAGCTGATCCCAGTTGAATTATTATACTGGGAGAGAATCAGAGGTACAGATTAGAGAAGAGGTAGCCAAAGGGAGGGTGGGTGGGGGTGGAGAACCAGTCTCTCATCCTTTTCTAAGTGAGTAGGCCTTAGGACTGCCCAGCAGTTTTCCAGTGATTCCTTCTATCTCATCTGCACATGGCTGAGGGGTTGCGACCCCCCCCAAAAAACATAAATATGCAAGACCTAAATACCCTCTCTAGTGTTTCTGTCTGTCACCATTCTGACCCCACTTGTCTAAATCCCACCCAACCAATAAAGGGAAATGAGAGGGAACCTAAGAAGAGAACCCCTACTCACCTTAAAAGGATCCGAATTGCTAAGTTCCCCTGAAGAAGAAAAAAGAAGGGGAAGGGTGTTTGATGCAGAGGTACAGACAGAGAACCCTGAAAATAACCAGAGAGGAAGTGGGGGTGACAGAAGGATCACAGGCCCTCCCTCAACACCCCTGTCCCCCAAGCTCCCCAACCTCCACCCTCCAGCAACGAATCACAGAAGACATAGCTAGAATCACTCCCATTGTTCCAGTCCCACTTACCATTTTTGTGTTTTAAAGACTTGGATCTTCGAGGGGAATTGGGGTTCTGGAATGGGAGATACCATAGCTTTGGGGAAAGGGTAACGATAAGGGGGAGCCGAGAACCCAGGGAAGGAAAAAAGATTTGACAAAGAAACATCCTCAAATTCCTACTCTTTCTCCCCAGTAAGAGGCCTGTCTACCCATATTTCCCCTCCCCATCCCCCCAAGGCCTCTGCTGCCCTCCTGCCCACCACAGACACCCTCATCCCAGAACCCAGAGGCACCTGATGACCTCAGACTTGAGTCAAGACACCCGAGGACTCCCTGCCCAAAGGGGAAGGGTATCTGTCCTTTGCCCAAATTTCCCTCATGCTTGCCCCAGCTCTTACCTTGTCTGATTTTCTCTTCTTGGCTGTGTAGGACAAAAGGATAAAGGGCAGGGTCACTTTAAGTTCCCAATCTAAGGGCACCGAAAGAAAAGTACAAAGCTACACTCTTCCCCCTCATTCAAGATAACAACTTATCATTACATACCCAATTCCTGCTAGCCCATCTCACCCCAGTGCCCCCCAAATTTCCCTAGATCCCTGAACACCTTTCTTCTCTGAGCCATAGGACCAGTCGTTGTCATTGATGTCATCGTTATCCTCTTGGTCACTCTCAGACTTGTTCATACTGTTGCTATTGGCAATCCTGACAAGAGGAGGGAAAAAAAAGGGTCAAGTCTGCCACCTCTCTCTTGCCCCCAACTTCAGAGATATAGTGAAGCATCTGGGGCCAAGCACAACCCACCCTCTGTACCCTACAAATGCCCCCAGGGAACTACACCATGGTACAAGCTGCAAAAGACAAACAGCTCTGGTTCTAGCAGGGGGAGAAGCCCTCACCGGCGGTTGGCGATTCGGCTGCTGTTCCGACCCATTCCCAGGCACTTCTCCAAATGGGGAGCAAAGCGGGAGGCAGCAATGCTGCGGCTGCAATTGGGGCAAACACACTCCTTGCTCTTCCACTGGTTGAAAACCTGTCCAAAGATGTCCAATCCTGGCTGGTCCACGATCTCTGGGGACAGGAGAGGCGTGGCGATCAGGGCAGGCGGGGGACACACCTCTTGTTCCCACCCATGGCCCCATGGCCTCTTCAAACCCCCTGCCTAAGCTCGCAGGAGCTCCAGGCTCTACATCTGCTGTGGTTTCCAGAGAAGGAACCTCCAGGCACTACCAGGGCAAGGCTAGACTGCTCTCCTTCAACCCTGAAGCTCACCAAAATCCTTCATGCTATCAGGGTCCGTGTCATCCAGGAAGAAGTAGCCACACTTGACAGCCCGGTGTACCTCAAAGCAGAATCCCAAACAAGAATCCTCGACCAGGTCCGCGTATATCTCCTGAGCGATGGCCTGGGCCCAGGGGAGAACATCCACGGTCACGAGAGTCACAGCCCCCTGGACTGAGAGCAACTCTCACCAATCAAATCTCCTGCCAATTCGCCCTGGCCAAAAATAATGCTTTCTTTGCCATTTTTCCCCATCTTGACTTTGCCTTCTTTCTTCTTCCGGATCCTTGGGCTTTTTCAGCTGGCTATTCCCTTTAAGGAACAAGGCTGACTACCCAAATTCCTCTTTGGTGTGGATGCCAGATATAGCGACGTAGAGACATCAAGAAAAAGAACTAGAGGCACACGTGGGGGAGCCCTCACCTCTAGTTTGCTGTTATCCAGGCCAGACAAAGACATTTCCTCCATTTTCATTTGTAAACTCTTGTGGAGACGGCGCTCTGACTGCTCATAGCACAGCGGGCGGCAACACGGCTGCACACATGGGGGTGGGGGTGTTGGTGTGAGTCCAAGGCACCTCTAAACATTGCCACATCCCCTCCGCACCTCGCTGCCCAGAGCTTAATCCTGGCATCAGAATATACCCCTCCCTAAGGCCTAGGCTCACTAAGTCTGGATGGTCCTTCAGGATCTAAAACCCAAAGATGGCCTAGTCCTTCCCAGGCCTCAACTCAGGCCCTGGACTCTACTGCCAATCAGAGTCTGGATCTATAGGAGGCAGCAGCTCACCCCAGGTCCCCAAAACTCAAACCCCTCTATGATACCCATGGTGCAATGCAGCAGGGGGAGGAGAAGGAACTCTAAGGCCTCAAAGCAAACCCACAGGGTGTGGCAAAGAACTGCACAGACTCCTAAATACACTCCCCCCTTCCCTAGGCTCTCCTCAGAGTCACCTCTGCTTTCAGCCAGGATGTCCACTTGGGGGGGTACTGCGACCAGAAGTAGAAATGGCCCTAGGACCCTACAACCTTCACCCCACTGTCTCCCTTTGAAATAAGCCTGCAACTACAAGAGGGGAACAGAATCCACAGACACCTAAAGCTAAAAGGGCATTTCTAGACAACATGAGCAAGAGGGGGTAGAGCCCAGTGGGATGGCATGCCAGGAGTGGGCACTCCCCTTACCTGTTCTTCTTTTAGAGAACCACCCTCCCTCCCTCAGGACCTGCCCGGAAGTCTCTCCAAGAGCCCCAAAGTCCAGGAATCCCCACCAAAGGATTCAGAAACAGCGCCTACAGTCCGGGGCCCCTCTGAATGGTGGGTACGAGTTTGAGGAGCTGCCAGCCTAGAGTGGGGTGGGGACTGACAAATGAACCAGGGGCACTGGGGAAGGTAGGAGGCCGGGCCTCGGCTCTTCCCCCGTCCCTGCGGCACTGCTGCTGCATCATACCGACTGGGGGGAGGAGAGCTGAGCCATCGGAGGCCGGCGCCGGTCCGGGACAGACCGACCCCTAGAGAGTGGGCAGAGTGGGACGCGTCCCGGCCCCTCTCCTTCCCCAATGAACCAGGCACTGGGGAAGGTAGGAGGCCGGGCCTCGGCTCTTCCCCCGTCCCTGCGGCACTGCTGCTGCATCATACCGACTGGGGGGAGGAGAGCTGAGCCATCGGAGGCCGGCGCCGGTCCGGGACAGACCGACCCCCAGAGACCGGCCCCCCACGCGGCCCCCGCCCCCCCCCCCCGCCCGGCCCTGCCCCGCCCAGGGGGGACCCAGACAGGGGGAGAGCAGGGGGCCCCGGCCCGGCTGGGAAGCCGGGGAAAGCCGGGCGTTTCCGCGTCGGCCCGGGGGGGGCAGACGGGGGGAGAGCAGGGGCCCCCGGCCCGGCTGGAAAGCCGGGGAAAGCCGGGCGTTTCCGCGTCGGCCCGGGGGGAGGGGAAGGGGCGCTGACCCAGACCTGGGGGGAGGGGGCCCAAGCCCCGCGC